AAATTTGGTCCAGGTTCGTTGACTCCTAGGGAGTCCTATGAACTGGAGTTGCTTTCAGTAGGCCAGCAATTAAAAATACCTTGTTGTGGTATTCTCCACTTCAACTCTTTCGAGTGGGAGAATCTTGCCTATTGCATCCACAAGAGGTCTGCTGCTTACAACCCTACTGCGTTATATGAGGTAAAATACCGAGTGGTATTTAAACCTCCAATCACTCTCACTTTCACACTTTTTGTCACGGAAATTAAGCGCCTGTCGTCGCCGGACTCCGCCGTCCGTTACCACGGGTATTAGCCAGGCCCCGCAACCTAACAGGACAAGGTCTCCAACCTTGCACAGCACCAGGCTCCGTCCGCCTGTTACATGAAGACTTTGCGCTAGGACTTTCGCTATCCTACGCGGATTTTGTGCATTAATTTAGTTACCTGTTAGAGTCTAGAATTTCCAGGGTTTTATATACGCGCAATGACCCCCAGTCACTCGCCACTTTTAACCAAGAATCACTCACCCCTGTTGCCTTTCCTTGGAGTCTCGTCAACCTTCAGATCCCAGCAGGCAGGCAGAGTGCCAGCCCTTGAACAGGTTCTGAAAAGCTTCCACTAGGAAGCTTGCCGTGCACGGTCTCTACTGGCATCTACCTTACCCGCTGGAATCCTTCCGGTATGTTGAGCTCCGGCTCGAAGGACCAAATTATGTCAGAGTTGACACCTATTAAACACAGCACATAACGCAGAAAAGACAAGAGAAAGTTAGATTCTGAATACTCGCGAGGAGAACAGACAGAGATGTGCTTTCAGTTACAAATCTCCTGCTGCTCTGAAGCACATTTGCCTGCCCCTCTCTTTTTATTGTCTTTAGGATCCCTAATCACAGAGAGCGCTGTAACTCTAAGGGGAGGGGAAAAGACACTTCATCACACAGTCACAGCGCCAAGATTATCACTAACTAACAACACAATCTATCTCGCACTAGCTTNTTTGGCACGGGAAAAATAATAAACAGCAAGGTTTCAATAGGCTCTCGCAGCGCTTAGCTGCTCGGGCCTAAATAATCTTTCAAGACTGAGCCCTAGACTCCTTATGAAAACCAAACATCTTAAGTGAGGGCAAAAGGACCGGAGAAGAAAAGTCTGAATTGAGAGGAAGGAAATCAAAGTACAAAGAGGATGGTGAAAGTATTTCTGAACTGTTTGCTTCCAGAGATGACCCATATCATTATAAATGTCTCCTATATAATGAGTATAAAGCAAACAGTCGGATGCCTGAGGACAGAAAGGCACAGCAGCTGGAATTGGTTAACAATTCTAGTTTGGATAGAGTTTTTTTTTTTTTTTTTTTTTGTGACTAATGCGGGAACTTATGTGAGAGAGTTTGTGGATTTAGAGGAATTTCAAACTGGGAAAAATGGAGCTGAGGATGTGAGCCAACGACAACTCTCAGACAGACTGGGAAGTGACAGGATGCAGGAAATCCAAGATGGGAAAAGACCTACTTCATGCTGCTCTGCCAGACATAACAGCCCTTTTTGAAATTCCCAACACTCTGTGGTGAATCTTGCAAACTAATGCTTTCATTACAGCTTGGTTTTTTTTTCTGATCACAAAATGATTATTTTATGCAGTGTTTAGAAAGAAATGTACTGAAAAAAATCCCTCCAAGCTTTAGACGCTGTCGGTAAATAAGTGTGAGAAATTATAGATCTGTTTTTTTTCTCATTCGCTCAGCTTTTCTCTTATAATGTAAATCTCTTTTCTTATATTTTCCCAGACCATCAGTGTGGACCAACCTGACATATCATCCACAGTCGTTTGATGGTATTCAATTAAAAACTGGACGAACTTTCGTCTCCATCAGAGTGCGATTCCCAGTGGGTGTCCTGTCCTTCTAAACCCGACTTCTGGCAACACAAAAAGGTAAATGCAAACCTGCAAACTTGTCTGTCTTTGACTTGATATGACCTCAAAACCATGTGGTAGATTTATACGCTCAAGAAAATTGCATCCTTATCAGAATAAAGAAGGTACAATGAGTTTGGCAAAGTCTTTTCAAACTGATTGCTGGCTGACTCGTCTATAAGTGCTCTTACATGCAAATAAGAAGGGATTTATTGCTGAAATGATGAGAGTTTCACGAGTTACAAACTTAAGGAGCAAATATCATCCATGTATTACCTCCTGAATTGTTTAAGATACTAGAATCGGATATTTTGGAGACGTTACAGGTTTTTGTGTGGAAGAAATTTGCTGTTGAGGAACAAACACTGATGCCCTTTTGCTCAAATCTAAGTTGAAATGTTTGTTATGAGAATAGTTATGCCTTTTCACTGTTCATTATTCCTCTAATCTGGATATTTTACCTGCACTAACTAGTACTGAAAGCATATAATGGTTAACCTTGACCATACAGGCTGCCATTGTCAGCTTGTTACAGATCTGTGCTTATAGAGTTTTCCCTTTAATGCCCGTCTGTGTGCTCTGCTTCTGTGTCGTTGCTCTGATTTAATTTTCATGCATTCAGTAGCAGCAGGAAACACGCAGATGAGGCCTGTTTTTCCCCTGCAGTGAATATCTTTTCTGTGATAAAAAAGGCTGAGGCTACTGCGGCACTAACGCACAAAAGACTTTGCAACATTTGTCACATTCTTCTTTCACATCCTAACACTCGGATTATTTTTAAAGGTAATACTATGAGTGCATTCACACCAGCCCTGAACAGTTCGCTCTAATCCAACTCCTGTCTCTGTCTTGTCTTTTAGAGTTGTGCCTTAAAGTCTGTTTTCAGTAAAAACCAAACCACATTCCCCAGCGAGGTTTTTGGAGTCTCTAGCCAGACCTGGATGTTTAATTTTGTAGAAAAGCACTCAGGTTTTTCAACCGTGACTCCTCAGAATAGAGATACGGAGATTACAGGAGATTTTTTTTAGCTCATGTAGAATATAAGCAGTACTAACAAGAAACTCCCTCAGTGGCACAGAGAAAGCATCTTCAGATAATGGTCGACCATTGTGGTCCAGTTCAGAATATGTGAAGGACCAGGTAATAGCTAGTTAATAACAGAGTTGCCCCTAACCTTACCGTGTATACACAGCAGGTGGATCTAGACATTGTAAAAAGTCTCTTTGTTTTTGTCTCTGTAACCAAATCCACTTTTCATTCACTAAATATTGAGAAAGCTTACGCACATTCTCCCGCATCAGTCGGGCTCAACCTCGTCAATAACTAATCACTCAGACAGGATGGACAGGTCTAGTCATTAAGCACGCTGAACCCTGAAAGCTACACCGCTAATGACCCTGGATTGCTTCTTAGATAGACCCTGCTTAAAGACATAATACCATAATGACCGCCCTCAGCCTCAGTCAGACGACACACCTACCAGAGTTCTTTGTGTCTGCTGGTTGGAACGACAAGAAATGGATTCTTCTGCACAGATATGAACATTAGTAACACAGCATCTGCCGGGTAATTTGTGCAGCTGAGCTTTTCTGTATTTCCCTTCAATACGGACACCGTTCCAGAAATTTCAAATCCTATTTGCTGTGATGTTGGCGTTGCTGGCTCTCTCTGGGCTTTTTTAGCACTTGTTCATGTGCTGTCATCTGGCATCCAGCGGAGGCAGAAAAGCGAGCATTAAGCACGCTCATCTAATTTAGCCCAGCTTTCAGGGCTGCGTTTCGCGAAGTTGACATTGCCGGTCGAGCGTGCACAAATTAAATCAACAAGGATTTGCAAGGAGGCAGATCCCAGTATGGCCAGATGCCAGACAGCCCTGCACACCATTGGAAATACGCAGCCTGCTGCTTTGTATGAGAAGCTCTCTGCCAACGTGAGGCTGGATTCTTATCTTAATAAGTGAACCGAGAGAAGCCTTGTCTGATCTGGTTGCTTTGGGATGTTCAGCAATATCAAAAAGCCAACTCGGCTCATGTTGTTAACCTGTTGTTGTTAAAAGGTTTCGATTCTATTCCACTTGTACAGATTTCTGTGGTGGGTCGCACTCCAAGGTTGCAATTTGGAAAAAATTTCAACCAGATGTTTTCTCCAGAAGCCCCTGAGTCACCAAATGATTTCAAAGTTATGAATCCAACTTGGTAAACAGGGTGTGTCCCATACTTGCTGTCAAAATAAAAAAACAAAGAGATGTCAGCTCTCCAGAGATGAGATTTCTTCTTAGCTTGGATGTTTGAAGACATGTTGTGGTTGTGAAGTCAGTTCATTGGAGGGAGAACTTGTTTGTGAGTGAGCGAGAGAGGAAAGGAGTGGAGGTCAGAGGCGCCAGCAGAGTGGATATGTCTGGCAGCTGTGTCATTTTGCCACATAAAGGATTGTGGGAGAATTGCAACAAATGAGCAGGAGGACAAACAACACATAACCTACCCTGTAGTTTGTGAGTGGGCATGTCATTTGTCAGTGAAACTATTCATTTGTCTGCTGCTGCCTTTACTGACTTGCTATTGTGGCATTCACTGATGGTTGAATGAGTTCAGTCACAATAGTTGCTGACAAATGTTAACAGTGAATAGAAAAAGGCTGGGGCTAAAGATGAATGCTGGTTAAATTGTTTATGTGAACAACATACTTGTAGCTTTTAGAAGCACAATAGCTAAATGTAGTGTTAATGGTAATTCAGTTTTTTTTTACTAATTAAATTTTACCATTGCAAAGAGGAATTGTTTGATCTGCAGTTGCTGTGGAGTTTTAAAAACCAACATGTTCATGTTGCTATAGTAACTGTGTGCACTGATGCTGCAAAAGTGATTTTTTTCCTCAGGAGAGTTTCTCCTCTGCATAAGAAAATGGAATTTGCTTTGTGTTTTCCCTTCCACAGATCATCTTATTCATACAAGCTAGAGGCTTTTAAAATCAGTTTATATTAAACAGATTGACGGAATGATGTTGATTTTTACCTGACATATCAAATCAAGGTTTGAAATCAAAAATATTAGTAGACAGATGCATGTTTGTCCGTTTGTCACATATTGATTTTACGTTTTAGACCACTTCCATTCTACATGTTGATTTTTAATCGCACAGGATTAAGTCCCGCAACATGGACATTGCTTAGTTAAGTAATGTGATTCGGTGGACGCATGTCTGATGCAGAAGTGACGAGTGATGGTTTAAAAATACGTTTAGTTACTTTCCGTTTCAGCTACATGTCTCTCTGTCTTTACGTCCACCGGAAATGTTTCAGAATACCATTTTGTTTTTCCTGTAAGCGAGAGGAAAGAATAACACCTGCCCTTCAGCCAGCTGATTGGCAGTCAACAACAAGTGTGGCAAGGCAGGGCAACACACTATTAGTCTAAGCTTCGTACAACTGCTCAGAAAAACTTGTCACTCTGCCTTGATTATTTATTTATTTATTTAAAAAAAAAAAAAGGATTGCAAAGAAATCATAGGACAAGCACGAAGGAAAATTTGAGCAGTTTGTAAGTTGTAATTGTTTAAAACCGTAAAATATCTTGTTTTTGCTAACATGCATTCCTCCAAAATAACTTCTCTCAAACTTTCTCAACTTTTAAGGGTTTTAACTTCTCATGCCTACTTTGCCTACTATCAATTTGAAGCAATAAACTGACTTTTTGTATTATAAATGGCGACATAATATAGCAAAAAAAAAAGTTTATTGCACATTTCATTTCTCTTATTGCAGTTTAATCTCGGTCTCTGTTAATGCATAAAAAGTGTCTTCTAGCTAGAACATCTACACCTCTCTTTTATTTTTTTTTAGTGTTGGTGATACTTGCACACGACTGCAGAAATATTAGCTTGCCACACCCACACATGCACATAAACAAACACTCCCCAGACACTCTGTGACTCGTCAGGGATAATCGATGTGTAATGCGTCTGGGAAAACGCGTGCTCTTGTGTGCGTGTGTTCTCTTTGTTGCTGCGTCATCCCTAATACATTCTTTCTGCACACGTCAAGGTTGTCTTCTATCTTTGAATGCGTCCCAGCAGCCTCTTAGGCTGTCGATACGCATTGTCACTTTTATGGCCTGTTATTGGGACACGCTGCTTTGGGCGCAAGACAGTCTGCCAAGTGATAACAAGACCCGGCGAGGTTTGTCATCGGCAGGGATAGGAGTAGGCTTTTCTCAATCCCTGGTTGCTTGTCATGCTACACACTCATATTTACTCGCGGACTAAAGAGCGTCAGGAAACCTAAAGGCTCTTGTGGTCTTGCATGAACTTCCTCTTTAACTAAGCAGAAAGCATTCCTTTTAACTAAATAAAATAATTTATCTTCAGTCAAACCTTGTATCTACAGTCTAAACAGGTGCTTATAAATATTTATTTGAAATAAATAGCCATGTTTTAGCTTTAATACATGATGCACAAGCAAGATTTTTTTTTAAATAAAAAGAATAATTGTTTTTAAACTTGGTCAAATAGTATTGGAGTAATTGCTTAATTTTTTTTTTTCCACTTTTGTTTTCTTGCCTGAATATTTATATTAAAAGCAGGAAAAGCAACCTGTCTTCTGGGAGCCAATTATTTGAAAATAAACAAAAAAAGTTATCAATTATTAGAAAGGACTGTGGGTGGAGTATGTAACAGCAACTCTTTCAGTAGGAAGTAGGAAATGGAAAAGAACACATCATCAAATCAATTTTTCCACTGTCTTACTGTTTAAAATCTAACATGACATGTGAAGACATGACCATTTAAGACATTTTTTGGTTACACTGTCAGCAGTTTCTCTTCTCAGTCCACAGACCTACTGACTCCCATTTCTGTTTTGGTTCTGAATTGAGTCCGTCACGAACCCACACTTTGGTTTATCTCATGTCACAGCAACTTGTCTGCTTCTCCTAGCTCTAAAATCAATCAAATCTCTGCTCAGAAAACCCCCCCCCAAGTACTTGAGGACAGGATCAGGCTGTGGAGCTCATTAATGAATCATA